CGCTTGCACGATGCGGGTGAATTTGCCAATTTGGCCAACTCGGAAAAATGCGAATCCTGCTTTCTTCTGTCCTTTTTCTACGAGGCTTCATCCATACATAACAGACTCGCAAGTCACCCCCGCGCATCTTAGAGCTTACCATTATCCACTATTCGTGGCGCACTGGCGTCTGGCGACACCTGTTTTCTCAACTTACTGTGCTTTCTGATATCTCCCTTTCTTCTCCCCCACTCTGCCGAAAACGCTCAAGGTACCTCCCTCTCTCTTTCTCTCCAAGAATTTCTTTGATTTTTTGAACTGAAAATGGAAAATTTTAATTCGATAAAGATGCCCTGTTTGATATCCATTTCAACCTTCTTCTTGAGGTCCTTGTCGGTGCTTTAAAAACACTTACCCAAAACCCTTATCGATACTGAAACTTGTGGAGAACAACCAGTCCGGTGATACTCAAACGCTATTCTCGTTCTCTGAATGAGAAATATACATGTAAATATATTTTTGGGAATTAGAATTATGTGGAATTGATTCTGAAAAGAATCATTCTCAGAATTATTTCTCCAGATGCATTCTAAACGCAACCTATCATTATATCAGAGAGGTCATATATTGGTCACTGTACCATATTTTTGCTGAATATAGGAATTGGGTTGTATGCAGATAAGAACTAGAGATGCGGTTGCTGAAGGTGGCAACTTGCAACCTCAATCAATGGGCTATGGATTTTGACTGCAATTTGAAGAACATCAAGGAGTCAATATCAAGGGCTAAAGAAGCAGGTGCAGTCATTAGGCTTGGGCCAGAACTTGAGATTACTGGCTATGGCTGTGAAGACCATTTCTTGGAGCTCGATACCGTAACTCATGCGTAAGTTCCATTTTCCTGCAGTTTCACTTTATTTCAGTATTTCTGAATTGGTGAAACATATTGGCACAATAGTGGCAATGACGGGAAACTTTGGTTTGTTGAATTAGACAAATTTAGTGGTAGGCTTAAATAATTATAGTTCCCTTAGAAATCCTTATCTATCACTCTTTCTTTAATATAGCGTTTGCTTCTTAATACCTGCAATTCTCTTAGGTCAGATATTACTAACATATTTGGGTTCAAATCAATTTGGTTTTCTAACCACTAATGGCATAACCATCATCATTATCATCTAAACCTTGTCCCGACTATATGGGGTCGGCTATGTAACCCTGTTTCGCCATTTTGTTATGTTTAATGTTATATCCATTGTCAAGTTACAAGTGCTTAAATCATTTCTTACTACTTTTTCTTTTGATAATTGAAAATGGTTTCATTAAACAGTAGGAATTAAGATTTTACAAGAATCCCTTGGAGAGGCATAAGATGCAGCCTCTCCTAGCCATTACAAAAGATCAGAAACAAAATTACAATGCTACCCAGAATAAATGGTCCCTAGAAGCCCTCTGTTTAGCAAGATGATCAGCCAAAGCATTTTCCTCCGTACCCATCCACTGATATCTACATGTTATGTGCCTTGTTAAACATTTAACTTTTTTGATGAGATCCCTATAACTCCAAACCATTGAGTCTGGATTTGATAGCCAGCCCACAATCACCTTAGAATCCCCTTCAATCAATAGGTTCTCCACTCCTAGTTGATTAGCAATCTGAATTCCCTATACTGCAGCCAATATCTCAGCTCTTGTAAAGTCCCCTATCCCTATTGGGCCTGAGAATAAGGATATGATGTTAATGCCAAACGGTCCTGGGTTACCCTGGCTGCTTCCGTCAAAATTCAGTTTAAAAAAACCTTCTGGTGGAGTTACCCAAACTATAGTGGGTCTGGTTTTCCTAACTGAAGTGTGTGCAACTGTGGCCCAATTTCTCCAGATGTCATCAAAAGAAAAAAAGCTGAAAGAAGCCAAGGATTTCAACCGATGGATAGTCCTGGTTAAGATACATTCCTTCACTTTTGTAAAGGACTTCTCTTTTGTCACCAAACCCCTCCAAAGATTTTCCCACGCTGCATTAAAAAGAAAATGGTCCAGCTTTGAGCAGGTTGGGTTTTCCTGGAAGTTAGTCCAAGTAAAGATGGATTAAAGTAATGGGAATTCCTTTAGCTCACAAAGATTGACTAAGTCATTGAACTTCTTCATACTGGTTGTAATTGTCTGTTGGGGGGTATTTGATTCCTCTATAAATCTAATAACATTAAAATCCCCACCCAAACACCAAGGGTCCTCCCATAATCCTTTTATTGCATATACCTCATCCCAGAACTCATTTATCTCTCTATAGTTGTTAGGCCCATACACATTTGTTAGTACCCACACAGAGCCATCCTCTAGTTTCCTAAATTTCAGAGAAATTGAGAAATTGCCTATTAATTCCTCCAGAGCTTCCGCCACATCCTCTTTCCAGAAAATGACTAGCCCCCTCGAGGCACCCCAAGAGGGTGCATAAGTCCATTTCACTTCTCTAATCTTCCAAACACTTCTTGCCCACCTTCTATCTAACTCCAGTAACTTAGTTTCCTGAAGCATTACAATGTTAGGCTTTTCTCTTCTCTGCAAGTCTTTTATTAGCCTTCTTTTACTAGCATTTTAAGCCCCCTCACATTCCAACTAACTATTTTCATTGGCAACACATATAGAAGACCTACTTCAGTCACTCTCCTCCACTACTTGGAATCCTTCCTTTCTCCCCTCTCCCACTAAACTCAATGTCCCCCTCAGTATCCGAAATTAATCGCTCCACTTCTGATCTTTTTGTTTTTTTATTCCCCTTCTTTCCCTTCATTGTCCTCAAGGGCTCTTCACCTGTTCCTACCTTCTCACCCCCTTTCTCAAGCACAGAAGGAATCAATTTCTCTGTATTTGTATCCATAGATTTCTTTTTTTGTTTATATTCCTCCAACAACATACAAATTTGGTCCCAAATCCTTTCTAACTCCTCTTCCTTTTTCCTTTTCAGATCTAGAACTCTCTCATCTTCTCCCAATTGGATACCTTCACCCCTTCCACTACTGGTTGTTTTTTCTAGTTGGGAATCCAGAGCACCTGTTTCAGGAAAAGAACCCAAGTTAGTATCTAAAACCGAATGGACAGGCATACCTAGTTCCATGGGAGCTGAAAGGAGGAGGCCAGAAATTGAAGTTCCAATATTGTGAGTGTGGGCAGAATCAATTCCTTATGTTTTACCAATCTGTGGAGGTGTACCATGTTCAGCCAACTCTTTGCCAAACTTACAAGTAGAACCAACCTCTGATAGATTGCTCCTAGCTGGAGTCTCTGTGCTAAACTGCAAAGGAAGGTCCTGCCCCTCAAAACTGATAGCCATTTCTAACTGAACTCTATTGGGGGACTTGTTTGTAGGAAGAGAGGGAACCTGTGCTGCCCCAAGTTTATTGGCCACATTTCCTCTTCCTTGGCGGCCAAGAGAGGGAAAGAGAAGCTTTCCATCTAAATAGGGTGCGAAATAATTGCTCCCAACTGGCTTTCACCCACAATCAACTGTGATTTGCTAATACCGTCACCAATGGACTCACACATCTCCTCTTCCAAGAAGAGTTGTTCAGTATTTAAACTTCCCTCCTCGAGAAGATCCTTGGGAGCCTTCAACTCCACATTGCCGATGCTTGTTGTGTCATCAGATTCTGTCTCATAGTTAGAATCCTCCTCTTCTGAAACTATCTGATCTTGCATCTCTGATTCCTTACGTCACAAACATCTAGGATTTCGTATCTCGGGTGACAAACGAGCAGACTTCTCCACTGGTACCCATTTCATCGAACTGTTAACAGAGCAGCCACTAGAAGCTACAGCAGCGGCCTGCATTGAGGAAGACGAAAGTAAACCAAACCTTTGCCTTCGTCTAGAGGAGGTCCTGCCCCAGTCACGTGCCTGTTTAAAGAGGCACATGCTTCTTTATTAAAATGTAACGGGCTAGACTTAAGAGGCCCACTACTGCCTTTTAACGACAGGAGAACATTAGGGCATTAGGCCCAGAAGATTCAGGCCCAACAGAACTCACATGACAGGTCACGTGAGGTTTTAAGTGGGGCTTCCCCTCCAACTGGTTCACAGGTTCAGCTGACAGTTCAACTCCTAATCTTGACAGAGAGCCCTCAGTCACACCTTGTTCTTTTCCTTTTAAGGAAGTAAAATTCAAATTAAAAGGGCCTGATCTTTTAGCATCTGAAGCAACTACTTGAGCAAAAGAGCAACCCTTCTTTAGACCTGTAACTTGTGTCTCACGGCTTTGACTCTCCAGCCTGCCCACACCTTTTTGCCTGTTCCCCCACTGCTTGTCTATTTTCGTGAAAGGTTCAGAAGCTTTTTGGGTAACCAATCCTGCGTTGCCATCTAAAGTCCTGATTTCCACCAGCTCATCTTCTCCTGGCGAGCTTCCTTCCACAGATTAGCTTCAATGGAGGAAGCCAGCCATACTGGAATGAAAAAACCTTCGACCCTAACCAACACTTTTCTTGGAATGCCTTAGGTCTTACTCCACTGAGAAGTATGGCAGCTGATCGAAGATCATCCCAGAACTCCCCTGCCAACCGAGCTCCACATAAGACTGCAATAGAATCTGCTACTTCATGGTTCCATAGATGGAATGGCAACCCAACTAGGCGTACTATTACTCCATCCTCAGTGGAGAAAGATTTTGAATTAGATGTTGGTGTCCATTTGAATATTGTGAAAGACCCCAGACTGTCTTGAATATTTATAGCTGTGATTTCCATCTTGTTATCACAGAAATCAATCACAGCCTTGCAACTGTTAAAAGGGGTTAACTCAAACTGCTTCTTCAGCTTGAACTTATGTATCAGTAGATCTGCTACCTTCTAACAGTTTTCTCTGCAACCAACATCCATTTACTGGCCCAGAGTTCTTTTTTAGCATTTACCAACACTGTTGGGTTGCTGATATTCTTTGCCATAGTCACCATTTCTTACTACTTTAACCCATGTCCTTTTTGGTCTCCCTAGCCCTTCTAGCCCTTTCAACTTGTAATGGATCACTTCTTCTTACAGGTGCTGTAGGTGGTCTTCTATGCATGTGATCAAACCATCTTAGTACTTTCTCTCATTTTACCACCTATTGGAACCACTCCTAGGTTCCTCCGGATGACTTCATTTCTGACCCTATCCTTTCTAGTTTTTCCATTTATCCACCTTAGCATATGCATTTTTTCCACACTCAATTTTTTGGACATGTTTCTTGGCTGCCTAACACTACTCCATACAACATAGCTGGCCTTACAATTGTTTTATATAAATTTCCTTTTAATCTAAGTGCTATGTGCTTATCACATAAGATTTTGGATGCACTCCCTCTTGCCTATCCTGCTCTAATTCTATAGGTAACATCCTCCTCAATCTCTCACTTGTTATGAATTATCGAACCAGGGTACTGGAAAAGGTCACACACATTAGTTATCTATTTGTCTCCAATCCTAACTTCCTAACTATACCCTGATTTTCAACAACAACAAGAAACAATAGTGAGAAGTGCTGTTACAAGTTAACTCTGATGCAGGTTTTCTGAATGGTGGTGTAGCTAGCTAGCTATGTTGTTGTTCTTTTTGGCCCTCTGGCTGCTGCTTCTCCAATTCAGGCAGAAGTGATGGTGTTGAAACAAAGTATCCTGCTTGCTATCAAAATTTGCTAGAAATAGGTGGTGTTTGAGTTGGATTGTCTACACCTTACAAAGGCTATGCTTAAATAAGGTTCCTTGGGGGCTGCTAATACTGTGTTTTTAAGAAAACCCAGAAGGGATGTCAATGACCGATTGACTGGGAGACAGATTGAGTCGACAAGCGAGATGTTTAGAAGGGGAAACCTTGGAAGGTTCCGTAGAGGAACTAGGAGATGGGGAGCAGAAAACTGGTACAATAGGGGGGCCCTGGGGCAAGAGTTCGAAAAAAACTTCACTTATGGCAATGCTGTGGCTGCAGGAGCTTGGCCAGAGTTTAAGGTTGCAAATAACTTGGATTCGATTTGATTCGAACCCGAATTTGATCAGGTAAGAGCCAGATTCAGATACCTCCCTTTGATCCTAACAAATCGAAAAAGTTAATCCGTTTAGTTAATGCATCAAATTCAAATATATCCTGATCCGATCTACCAGGACCTAATCCGATTTGTTAGTTATGAAATATTATATATTATATATATTGTATGTATATGTATATTTTATATATGTTATATAGTATTTATTATAATATATTATTTATATATTATAAATAATATATAAATTTGGATGTTGAAGGTGATTCACAGTTAGTAATTCATTGGGTAAAGCACCTTATAGAAGCACCATGGAAATATAGACAGCATTTAGAGAGACTGATGTGATTGCAAAGAACTTGAATGCAAGCTTCAGCTGGTGAGAAGAACTGCAAAAGAGGTAGCAGATACATTAGCTAAATAGGGAGTAAATAGGCAAAGTATTTTCTGGGCATACTTGTAATTGGGTATTGATGAGTATTGGGTTTTACCAATAGATGTGTTAAGTTTAAATCTTTAATTATTAACGAAATCCTTTTGCTGATAAAGAATATATTATTTATATTATATCATCAAGTGTTTTTTTATTACAATCCAAATTGAATTGGATATCTGAAGGCTCTTCATTCCTCTCTTACACCACATGGTCTTCAGAAGGCTCTTCATTCCTTTTCTTATACCACATTAGTGGCATTGTCTTCTCGGTCATCATTCTCTATGTGTTTTGAAAAAGCTAGTCCCAACTTTGGAGTTTGTAACTCAGTTGGATTGTGAGTCATGTCAGTTAAGCAAACATCATAGCGTGTCTTTTGTTCCTAGAGATGATAAGAGAGTCTTTAGTCCTTTTGCTTTAGTCTATTCAGATGTTTGGGGTCCTAGTCGTGTGTCATCTTATAATGGATTCAGATGTTTTATAACATTTATTGATGACTATTCAAGAATGACATGGATTCACTTAATGAAGGATCGTTTAGAATTATTCTCTATTTTTCTATCTTTTCATGCTGAGATAAGGAATTGGTTTGGTGCATGCACTAAAGTGTTTTGTTCTGATAATGCCAAAGAATATTTTCATAATAGTTTTCAGTCTTATTTTGACTCATGTTGTTATACATTAGTCCTCCTATTCACACATTCCTCAACAGAATGGTGTGGCCGAGAGAAAGAATCATCATGTGATTGAAACTGCTTGGGCCTTGTTGATTCAAATGTCAGTCCCTAGGATCTATTGGATTAATGCAATTCTCACGTCTTGTTTTCTCATAAACCGTATGTCCTCTTCAATCCTAGATGGTGAGTCACCTTTCTCTATCTTGTTTCCCTTCTACTTTTCCTTTATCTCCTCCTCATGTGTTTGGTTGTGTGTGTTTTGTTCACAAATTGGGTCCATGCCATCATAAACTTGATTCTAGAGCTATCAGATGTATTTTCCTTGGTTACTTTCGTACTTAAAAAGGTTATAAGTGCTATGATCCTGTTTTATGAAAAGTTTTTGTTGCTTTGATGTTATCTTCTTTGTTTACCCTATTTTCTAGACGTGAACCTTCTCCTTCTATTCCTCTTTTCTCTGACTTAGGTGATGTCTTTTTTCCTTTGCCTATTGTAGAGGAGCTTATTTGACCATCTATTCATAGAGTGTACTTTAGACGTGATTGACAGCTAGAATTGTCACCAACAGTTGATCCAACTCTGGCTTTTGACCTGCCACCAGAGTCTTTGCCATTGATAGATCCATTACCCTCAGATCTTGATCTTTCTATTGCTCTTCATAAGGTAAGTGTGCTTGCACAGATCACCCCCTTTCTTGGTTTGTCTTTTTTGCTTATTTATCTGCTTCACATCAACAGTTCATTTCTCTTCTATCATCTGTTTCCCTATTGTGTTCTATATAGGAAGCCTTCTCATCTCCTGGTTGGAAGAAGGCAATGGATGAAGAATGTAATGCTCTTTAATCCAATCATACTTGGGATTTCACTTTCTTACTACCTCAGAAGCAGGCTGTTGGTTGTCGATGGGTCTATATAGTTAGACATTGTCAAAATGGTAGTATTGAGTAGTTCAAAGCTTGACTTGTTGTTAAGGGGTATACTTAGACTTATGGTGTGGACTATTCAGAAACCTTCTCTCCCATGGCTAAAATAGGTTTTGTATGAGTGCTTGTCTCTTTAGCTGTCCACTTTGATTGGCCTCTATGTTAGCTTGCTGTAAAAAATGCTTTCCTCCATGGTGATCTTCAAGAGGTGTATATGGAGCAACTTCCTGGGTATGTTGCTTAGGGGGAGTCAGGGAAGGTGTGTTGATTGAAGAAGGCTATCTATGGGTTGAAGCAGTCACCATGGGCATGGTTTGGTCATTTTAGTTGTGTAGTGCAAGAGTTTGCATGAAACAATGCAATGTTGTTATGTTGATAACTTTGTGTTTAGCGGCAACTCTTCATTTGGAAAAATCATTCTGGCACTGGCTGTGTATGTTGATGATATTGTTCTAATCGACAATGATGCACATGGATTAATGAGTTGTAACAATTCCTACAACACTTTCAAACTAAAGATTTAGGAACCTTGAAATACTTTCTTGGAATTGAGGTAGCTCGATTGAAGTGGGGAATCTCTTTGTTTCGGCGAAAGTATGTTTTGTATATATTGGATGAAATTGGGTTGTTGGGGTCCAAGCCAGTTGAAACTCCTATGGATCCTAATGTGAAGATGACTTGTAGTCAGGGGGAGCCATTAGAAGACCCTACAAGGTAGCGGAGACTGGTTGGCAAGCTGATCTGTCTTACCATCACTAGGTCTGACATCTCCTTTATTGTTGGAGTCCTTGGTCAATTCATGCAAAATCCAACAACTGCTCATTGGGATGGTGTTATGAGGGTATTGAAGTATCAAAAGGGTTCTCCTGGTTGGGGGCTATTGTATATGAAAGGGGGGGAGATATGTCTTTAGTAGGGTATTTTGATGCAGATTGGGCAGGCCCTCCAATGGATAAGAAGTTTACTACAGGTTATTGTACCTTCTTGTGTGGAAATGCTTGTCACCTGGAAGAGCAAGAAGTAGAGTGTGGTTGCTAGGAGTAGTGTTGAAGCTGAACACAGGGCAATGGCCCATGCTACCTATGAGTTAGTTTGGTTGAAGCATTGTCTTCAGGAGATGAATATCACAATTTTTCAACCCATTAAATTGTCTATGACAACTAAGCTGCAACACATATTGCCTCCAATCTAGTGTTTCATGAAAGGACTAAACACATTGAAGTTGATTGCCATTTTGTGAGTAAGTAACAAGTGGAGATATTGTTACCCCCCTATGTTAAATCTGAAGATCAAGTGACTGATATTTTTACTAAAAGTTTGGGTCGCTCAAGGATGGATTATATTTGTAACAAGCTAGAACTTTATGGTATATACGCTCTAGCTTGAGGGGGAGTGTTCAAATTGTTAAAATCAGTTGACATTGTCATTCTTGTCTTTTCCTTGTTATTTTTCTCTCTTATATCTGCTGTAACTTATCTAGGGGCATTGTTGTCATTTCAGTAAGATGTTAATACAAGTGGGTCAACAGTAAGGAGAGTAGAGTTCGATTTCTCCTTGCTTGTCTTCCCTCTTTTCTTCTCTTTCTCTTCTCTTCCCTGTTTTCTTCTCTTTCTCTCCCTACCTTCTTCCTTTACTTCTTTTTTTCTTTTTTTTTCCACTTTACTTCTCTTTATTGAAGTTGCAACATCCTTTGCCAAAGTTTCATAGTGTGGCTTATGGGTTTAAAACCACAATGGCTATTGAAATTGCCTTTGTTCTTAAATATAGGCATCAAAGTGCTCTTACTCCATTCATTTGGCATTTTCTTTTCTATCATCATCTTATTAAATATTTTATTTAGCTATAGTAACCCTACTTCTCCCATATCTTCCCATAATTCTATTGGAATTATGTTCTAATGCCTTTCCCCTCATTTTATTTAGTGCCTCCTTCACTTCAGTAATTTTAATTTTATAAAGATACATGTAATTTTTAACATTAAGAGTTACTAATCTTTCCTCCATTAACACCCTTTTCATGTTGTTATTTAATAAAATTTTAAAATAGTTTTTCATCTTTCCTTAATTTCCTAATCTTTTACCATGACTCATTGATCTTCCTCTTAATGCACCTAACATCGGGTTTGAATCTTTTTGTTTTTTTTTGATCAGCAATAAAGATTGATTTATTAAGTAAAACTATATGGGATTAAGTACAAAAAGATGACCAAACTGTAACATTGATCTTGAATCTTAATTGGATTGAATAGGTTAGATTCACATCCAATCTGATTATTAAGTGGATCTAATTTTTAAAATATGAATCCAATCTGTATATGTAAATGGAACATCTGAATCCAAAATAAACAGATTGGATCTTAGGCTTTCAAACTACTCTGGCAGTCCTAGATACAAGTGTCCTGGTATCATAGGTCAATGCTGGTGCTTTGTCTTTTGAGTTGATGTTGATCTCATTACCTTGAGGTACTGTTATTGTTCACTCTAATCTTAAATGATTTTTTTTACCGTCTTGTTTGCAAATGATGTTAGGTTTGTCTTCTATCATCTCAAGTGCCTTTTAGCATTGCTTTTAATTCCTCTTTAGCAATGACTAGAGCATGTTGCATTGCAGATGGGAGTGTTTGAAGGATATTTTACTTGGTGACTGGACAGATGGCATATTATGCAGCATTGGTATGCCTATTATCAGAGGTTCAGAACGCTATAACTGTCAAGTACTTTGTCTAAACAGAAAGATACTCATGATCCGCCCAAAGATGTGGCTTGCAAACGATGGAAATTATAGGGAACTTCGATGGTTTACAACATGGAAGCAAAATGACCAGCTTGTGGATTTCCAACTTCCAAATGATATTTCGGAAGCTTTGTTACAAAAATCAGTACCTTTTGGTTATGGATACATTCAGTTTCTAGACACGTAAGTGCCTATAATTTTAGGTGTATTTAACTGATTTTATGATTGAATTATATAACCTGTTGCAGTTTATTGTTCTATATCATGAAGGGCTAGAAATATGTTCCTATCCTAATACTGAATTAAAAGTTAGAATTTCATGCAACATTTGCTTTGAAATATCTGCTTGCACAAAGTGACCACTGTCAGACTCGAATCCACATCTCACGCTTGCCAGCCCAAGGTTTTATTGATAGCCATAAAAGCAGAATAAAACCCTAAAGCTTATTCATAATATTATGTGCTTGTCGATACAATTCCTATGAATAAATCATGAACCATTGTGCTTATTCACATTAATCAGTATAAGGAATCGTTAATTCTGAAGTTTATTTTCTTGTCAGAGCTGTTGCTGCTGAGATCTGTGAAGAGCTTTTTACACCTTCTCCTCCACATGCTGAGCTTGCATTAAATGGTGTAGAAGTGTTCATGAATGCAAGTGGAAGTCATCACCAACTAAGGAAGCTTGATCTTCGTCTTCGAGCTTTCATAGGTGCTACTCATACCCGTGGAGGGGTTTATATGTACAGTAATCACCAAGGATGTGATGGCGGTCGCCTTTATTATGGTAAACATATTCCTGGTTGGGAATGCATTACCTAAACTCTGTTATTCTCCTTTGCATATAATATCTTAAGTTTTTCATTTTAGAATTTCTGAAGGTCACTGATTAGTGCACCCCTGTTTTTGAAAAACAATGTGGTAATAGCAGCGAAAATACAATGATGCCCCTAGACCATTACAGAAAATCCATAATTTACAGGAGCATTCTTGGATTTCCTGGATTCTTGTTCTCATTATCCTTCCCTCTTATCAACAAATTTTGTTCCTTTATGTTATTGGCTGTTATTAATGCCCTTAATGTATTTTTACTGTCTCGATCAATATTTTCTAGAAGGCTTTCTGGTTCATCTACTGAGCTTATAGGAATATTTTCTATAAGTACTAGGTGCATGCCCCACACCTTGAGACACTCTATGTCAAGAATGTTATTTTGATTTATTAATTGAATTACGGTTCTCATCAAAAGATTGCATAAAGAACTAGTGCAAGCTTTTTTATATATTCTTTTAGGGTTTTTAACAGTACCTACTTAGGGTAGGGATGCAACTTTTGCAGGTTAGGGTTGGAATTTTGTCAAAATTCTAATGGACCCAACCCGAAGCCCAAGCCCGAAACAGTGTAAACTGTTAACTCGGGCCAACCTGATTTGTAAGAACATAGTTTTTCTTTTTAAAGCTCATAGTACTGTATAATCATTTTTTTAGCACAACGATTAAAATTCATCTAAACTTTTTCATATATACAAAAAAAAAATGATACCTGGATGCCTGTACATGTTTAGTGTACTGGTGTAGGTGACAGATACTTAATGCATACAAAAGTGGATACTGCATCAATACTTCTAGATGTACTCAATACCATTAACACTTTAAAATAATATGTTTAAACAAATTAAACTATAGAAAAAACTGTACATGTTTGAGAGGTTGAATATCTCATGTTTGAGATATTTAAATGCTGATTGAATTGCACCATATAGAATGAGAAACTCTAAGGGGAGGCTGGGTTGGTAAGCCCCATGCCAAAATTCTCTAGTTTTTCTCAGGATTGGCTCCAAATTGCAGATCTCTGTTTTCTTGTTCCTGTTCCAGGTCTGCAATAGTAGTCCTTTTGTGTGTGTTTTATTTTTATTTTTTATTTTAGCTCTTTCTTTTGTGAAAAGAATGAAACTTCACGAGACTTCATGTCTCAAGGCTTATGCTTCACCTCATGCGCCAGCCTTCAAAATTTTGGTTTAAATGCACCGTACATTTGGTGTATGCAGAATTTTTAATATTCAAGTACTAGAAAGAGAGAGAAATAAAAACAATGAATAGCCTCTTTAAGTCTTAATTGCATTTGGTGCATTTAACGTAAAGATGAAATCAATAACTTCATTCTGCATAAAGTATCTTTTAAACACATAAGATTTTTGATAAAATCTTATGTGTTTAAATCTTTTAATGATATATATTAACTAGTAAAAATGATATATTGATAAACTTTTACCGGTTACCAATAAGAAATTAGTGTATTAACTAAGAACTAGTATTTCTAACCTTAGTAATTCAGTGCCCTTGAGACAATTAGAAACTGAACATGAACAATACCTTAATAAAAGGACAGATCCTAGAAGTGGAAAGTCGCTTTAAGTGGTAGGTCCCCCATGTATTGGCATTGTTTTCAGTGATGAATATGATGATTATTGAAGGTTCAAATCACATTACATGCATGTTATTTGATAAAAAAATGAATATGATGATTATAATTACAACCAAGGATTGAAATATTGATATGATACGTCCGATACGGGGCGTATTGTATCGGTATCATTACTTACTGGTATGGGATATGCTACGACTGGAGGTGTATCCTGCCAGTCGTGTGTATCAGGTCGAGATGGGTGCATATCGGTCTGTATCGCATTGTATCGGCCAATACACACTGATACAGACCGATAATGATACACCATATGCACCCATGCAGCTTTCTACTAAAAAATGCAAATGGGGTGATTTGAACCCAAACCAATTAGCGCACTTAACGCTTAAGCCCTTAAATTGCTAAGTCACTTAGTTTCTTATGATACCAAGTGAAATAAAATTACTTTTATTAATTTTACTGTCTAAGTGCAATCCCGATAAACAATACATATTTATGTTTAACAACTCCAACTAAAAATAAAAAAAATAATATTCAAAATTAGTAGTTTATAAAATAATGGAATAAATTATCTATCAAATCCACATTTATATCAAAAGATTATTTGAATCTCAAGAAATTTATACAAATAAAATATTAATAATCAAATAGCTATTTTAGTACTTAAAATTTACAAATTTGTACATGGTATGTATCTTAAAAATTATATATATATTTTTAAATTATTAATTAATATTTTAATTTACATTAAATAAAAACATATTATTATATACAAAAATAATTTTTTTTTACAAAATATTCAAGAATATAATATTAAATTGAATCTATCAAACCTACTAATCTAATTTATATAAAAATGAATTTTAATTTTAGAAAAATTATAGAAATAAAAACATTAATAGTGGAATAATCATTTTAGTAATTAAAAATTACGATTTTGCATATGATATGTCTCTTAGAAAGTTTAATATATTTGATATATTTTAAGTAGAGATTATATATTTTTATAAATTATTAATTGATRTTTTAATTTGCATCTAAGAATTTAATATTTGATTGACTTTGTTGTTAATGTAAAAAGAGTAAAATAGAAAATACTTGATATAATAATTAAAATATAATAGGTGCATATGTTCTATGTTTTGGACTCTTGATTGGTGCATCATCAATAAAGTTATATGATATCTATGCATCCTATTATATTAATTTTAATATACTTTTTCAAATACACCACTGAAATATACGTTTTCTATGTCTTTATACATTATTTGTGTCTATTTAACTTTAAATTTAGATTTATTAATGTATTTGTGGAATTTGTATGTGTTTCCCTAGCGTATCCAAGTTTTTCCATATTTTTCGTCCGTATCCATGCGTATTTGGGTAAAGAGAAATGCAAATTCCCTTGCTGATGGATTAACTAGGCAAGGGGTGAATAGGGATTCTGGTTTCTGGGCTCAGTTGTAATTGTTCTTTTCTTTTTGGGTGCCTGCCCACTTTCTTGGGGAGTTAAGATACTTTAGCTCCTCTACTTTGTAAGCTTATTCCTCTTTAATGAAATCTGTTGTTATTGAACAAAAAAAAAAAATCCATGCGTTTCCGAAGTGTATCTGTATCTGTATCCATATCCAAATTGTCCAATACGATACCCAATACCAATACTTTAATCCTTGACTACAACTAGTAAAAGCAATGGCCATAGTCCAGTGGAAAAGAGATAAGATTAAGGTATTCCATTATATAAAAACAAGGGTGTTAGAAAGACAGGTGGACTTTTAACTTTCGTAATCTTAAAACCAGGGAACTAGAGGATGTTGTCAGGTTCCTTGTTGTATACTGCATGTCTTATTTTCCCCTTAAAAGGGAGAAAAATAAGAGCGGGGAACTGGGAGTCTCTTTAACTGAACTGCCAGTTAATTTAAGTTTTAACCATCTATACTTGTTGGACATGCTTTAGCAGTTACAAGTTTTTTCCTCTTTTCTTTTTTATTTCCTTCCTCTTTTTGCTGGCACTAGCACCCATGTGTAGTGGCAATAATTCTTTTTATTAGGAATTAGTGACCCTGTTATCAAAAGGTGTGGTCAGTGTTTTATTTTTGACTGAAGGATGGTGGTTCTTGTGTTTATTTGTGATTGAGTTGAATACTTTTATGGCAGATGGATGTTGTTGCATAGTGATAAATGGAGATGTGGTTGCTCAAGGATCGCAATTTTCATTGAAAGATGTTGAGGTTTTGGTCGCTCAAATAGACCTAGATGCTGTAAGATGTAACTTTACATTATTGTTATTGCATTTGTCGTAGTAAAGATTGGAGGAAGCCTATTTCCTGTTTGAAGCTATTTTCTCTATTCCAAAGTTCCAAAGTTCATTAGCATCACAGACAATGATGTTCAGCTGATTCATAGAGTTCAGTGCTTGTCTCCTTAGTAGGGTTTCATTAATAAGAGTATAACTGCAAGTTGGCTTTGCCAAAGCTAAACTTGGTCTGAGCCAACTCAAGCATCAAGCCCTTTTTATATGATGTAGGACTATGTGATCCAAGGCTGGATTAGTAGCAACTTTGATTGAATTTGAAAAATATATGATGATGGTAATGCGTTAGGTCCAATGTGTGGGGTTGATGGGCTAGAGGTAAAGTCTAGAGAAGTGGGGGTGGGGGGATGGGGGTTTGTCTAGGGTATATTGCTGTATGAAGTGATTGGGTAACTAGTATAGTGTTGAAATTCCTGCAATATGCAAAAATTTCTAAAGAGAGAAAACAAGCAACTTTAAATATTTCAAGATTGGAACGAAATTTCTTTAAACTGTTTTAAAGTAAAGGTTAGGTAAGTGAGCTGGAGCAGAGTGAATTTGGAGAGGTGTTAAGATGGTTGGGCACATAAAGACGGGAATTAGCAACATTTGAGAACTAGGGTTTTTAGTGGGAATTTTTGAAAACTGTTTTAGTAAAGATCTTTAGATATGGAGGATGGCTCAACTAGATCTTGGTTTTCACCAAGGTTTGGTAGGGTGTTTGAATTTTGAGAATTGAAGGGAATGAAGCCGAGACTTACCCAAGATCAAACTTAGTCCTTTAGTTGTTGAAGAATGATGGCTCTGATTGTATTTTCCCAAGTCTTTGATGTCTGTGGATGGCTGAGCTCAAAATCTTGAGAGAGAAGAGAAGAGAAGAGAAGAGAAGAGAAACAAAGGAATCATTTTTAGGAACCACTCACCATAAGTTATACAGGCAGAAACTAAACTCCAATATTCATCACTCATGTTTTGTAACTTAACAAACAAGCATATAGACTGTTTAGGGTCAGCCAAAGCCAAGCCAAAGGTTCAAAGTATTGATACACCCAATATGCACGAATATACATATGCATATCGGGTGTTTCGGTACTATAAAACATTTTTTCTTTTAATTATTTTACTTGGATATTTTGATGAGGGGATTGTTTAAATATTATTTAACATTTCAAAACAATAGATTTGGGAAAAGCCTTAAAAGGCATATTGGCCACCTGTTGACACGATATGATACACTTCATACGAGACCTATCGTGTTGAAATTTTGAACCCTGAGCCAAATTGCTTTCTAAACTAGGAAAACTCAAAAGTACAATTCTTCCACTCATAAACCAATTTAAAGAAAACTAAATAACTCCTAAACTACTTAACCAATGACTCTGGAAATTTAAACATGACTAAACTATAATAGAAAATTCAAACTAATCTTGACCCTACATACAATAGTCAAAATGATGAAAATACTCCTGTCTAAAAATACAGAGATACACAAAAAAAAAAAAACCCACTTTTGACTCTTCAGCTCCTGCATCATTACAACCTCAGGTTGGGCATATAGCATAGAACCTGCCTTAGTCTTCAACTGGGAATGAAAAACTTCACAAAACCTCTCCAAAAACCCTCCCAACTGGGCTACATAAGCTGCTCTCTAATCAGCTGATCAATTCTCTATGCACACTGTGTATGGGCAAAGAGAGAAGAAAGAAAAGAAGGTGATAACCTGCTATGATACCAAGTTGTAAATCACACCTGCAATGAATTAAAAGAAAAAAAATAGGAGAAAAGGAGATTGAGGAGAGAGAAGTGATGGAGGAAGAAGAAGAGAGAGTTGTTCTAAAACCTTTCTTCAGCCCCCAATGATCTCTTTTATTCTTTTGTTGTAAAAAATAAGGACAATTACATGAGTGCCCTTAGTAGGGCGTCCATCACTAAAGACAACAATAAAAAACAAGAAAACATGCCCATAACTAAGGCCCACTACCTACTAACACAAGTCATAAACATAACTTAAAGAAAAAACAAAGAAACTAAGGTCCATTTGGCCCATTATCTCTACACCACCCATCTAACCTCCTTTCAATTCTTTCCAAGAGTGGTTTCCATAAATTCATTGACTTCACTGCACCACCAATCGGCATTCCCAAATATGTGAAAGGGAGCTCACCAATTCTGCATTCCATGGCATCAGCACACTCCAACAACACTTCCCTCCCAACCTCTCCAACTGCTATTATTGTGCTTTTAGATAGGTTTATCTTCAGCCCTGATAACAACTCAAAATTTGCCAAGACTGCCCTCAGATTCAGCATCTGTTCCACCTTTGCATCCAAGAAAATTAGAGTATCATCTGCATACTGCAGAAGAGAAATGCAAGGTCCATCTCTTCCTACCTTAAAGCCCTCAATTAAGCCCACTTGTTTGCTTCTTTCTAGTAGTAGGTTCAAAACCTCCAAACCAAATACTGATTTATGAACCAGAAAATAAGGACATCAGCAGACCTCAATCTTCATAAACAAAGGTCTACTGATTTATACAAACCAGAAATCAGGGGCATCAGAAGGCCAGTTTTCTTTTGTCCTATCAGTTCTGTAAAAGGTAAGCATCTGTTACTGACCTTAGGAGAACATTCAGAACTACTTCCAACATGAAAGTTACCTCCACCGATGAGATGACAGATCAGTTTCAGTTTAGGATGCTTCCTTTTTTTTTTGAGAAATGATAGAATTTTATTAATAAAAGAGGAATTACATCAAGATTTACAAGACAAATCATCCCAATAGGGATGCAACGTGCGATCCCATCCTACAACAACTCAAATTACAACTGAGCCAAAAAAAGTTCAGACTTAAACACCCCCATCTTCGCAAAGTAATCTGCCATCCCATTTGCAGACTGCCTTTCTCATTGAACAAGAACTGTCATGTCTCTAACCAGCCATTTGAACTTTTTCATAGATTCTTTGTACTTCCAACTCACTGTTTCTAGTTCCTTCAGCCACCCTATTATCAATTTATAGTCACCTTCAATGAGCGGTCTGTCAAAATTTAGCTGTCTAGCAATCTGTACTCCTTGCAAGACTGCTTGGAACTCTGTAAAAACTGAGTCCCCTTTTCCAGTCGGGCCTGAGAAGACAGCAACAATAAGTCCTTCGCTATTCCTGAAAACCCTCCTATACCAGCTGGACCTGGGTTCTCTAGGCTGCTGCCATCAAAGTTCAACGTGATAAAGCCTTTGTCAGGATGTTCCCAAGCTACACTGGTCTGTTCCTTGCGGTAGAACTTCTAGCTACAGCTCCCAAGTTTCTCCACAAGTCATCAACAGAGAAATCTGAGAACAGGTTTGAGGCTTTAACACAAAGTATAGCTCTATTAAGAATACACTCCCATACTGCCTGCACACTTTTTTCTCTGTCACTGAAGATTACCATTTTTCTACTCACACACCATCCATATCAAAGCAGCCTAAGGCATCTCCACATGACTTTACATCTCTTCTTTGACCAGCTGAAGGTTGCAGATTCAAAGAGATTTCCAATCTGCAGAGGCACAATCCACCTATGACCAAAAAGATCAAAGACCTTTTCGCAGAGGCCTACAACAAAAGGGCAAGAAATTAGGAGGTGGTAACAGCTTTCACCACATGCTTCTTCCCACTTCTAGCAAGCTAGATTGATTGCCAGCACTAAAAAATCCACACTCAATAGTTCTGCATATCTGTGGGTGCTTACAATCCAATGGCCAATGCAACAGTCCTTAGTAATAGTTTTTTTCATCAGCAGCCCACGAAACTCTAGGTACTTAAATTACTAGTCCTAAAACAGACAAAAATATAAAAGAATCTGGTGGCCCTATGACCAAGGAAAGAAGAAAGGAGGAAATAGAAGGGCTGGTCAGATCAGGCAGTCCAATCACTTTAACATCAGTTCAATCGTTCTGAATAGAGCTCTATATGTAAAGAAAGAGGATTTAATCTTCTCCATGGAAGATGGTGCTCTGATACCATGTCACCTGTCATAGAGGGATGAGAAAAGAAGACATCAGTAGAAGAGAAGAAGAATGAGAGAAAGCCCCACAAACCTTATAGAGTATTTTAAATATAAATATGAAATTACAAGTATGCCCTTGTGCCTAAAAGTACAAGAATAATGACAGTTATCAATCTGCTAATATGACAGGAGCTATAAAATTGAAATACTTAGCATTAAAACATGACACTAGTAATGTTCAATGTTCAGTTGCCTGTAGACACTTGAGGTATATGCTGTTAGCCTTCTTAGTCTAACAAGAGGGACTTCGTTTCTCATAAATTGTTAGCCTTTTGATGTAGTATGGGAATGAGAAACATCCCATCGGGGTTGATGCAGTACAGGAGAAGGCCGATAAGTTCTATTCAAGTTGGGACCATTCCAAGACACATAAGAAGCAGAAATGACGCCACCGGCTCATCTTAGTAAATATTTACCAATATAGCATCACCACAGGAATTCTATCTTAGTACGTTTTTACCAAGTTGGCGCCTTCTCAGAGTTTTCATCTTAGTTTGTTTTTACCAAGATAGCATTATTTCGAATTTATATTCAATTAGGACTTTCCTTTTGAAGGATTTTAGTAGGATTCTATTTTGGAGTGTTTTCTTAGATTAGGATTTTATTTTTAAGGAGTTTTAGTAGGATTCTATTATGGGGTGTTTTCAGATTAGGATTAGGAGACATAAGGGTGTATGCCTATATAAAGAGTAGCTAGGGGAAAGCTAAGGGAGCTTTCTTGTTATCAATTTTCTCTTAATTGTTTAGTGAAGAATTCTTCTTCTTAAAATTCGACTTCAGCTCTTTTTTTTGAAGCTTTTCTCACGTGTTTCGTTTTCATACTGCGTCAGTCGGTATCAGAGCTCAAGTTGATCCTTCTTCGGATTATGGCTCCTAAGAAGAAACCAGTAGCTCACATCATGGAGCAGGAACTCAACAACAAAACACAAGAAGAGATGGCGGAGTTGAGAAGACCAGTCGATGCACTTGCTAAGGAGGTCAAATCTTTGCATTCCTGGTCGGAAACAAGGGACAGCGGCTCCGACGCAAGTATCTCCACACGTTCCCTTTCATCATCAAGGAAATCAACCAGATTAACTGTAGTTGCGGGTGGTGACCAGAGACGGTGACAAGCAGATCTCAAGGTTGAGATCCCGGAATTCCAAGGAGGCATGACTAGCAGAATTCATGGATTGGTTTTTCGTAGTAGAAGAAATCCTTGAATTCAAGGAAGTTCCGGAAAATAAGATTGTGTCCTTAATAACCACTCGGTTTAGAGGATGAGCAGCAGCATGGTGGCATCAATTGAAGGTTATGCGATAGAGAAGAGGCAAGAAAAAGATTAAGACATGGGAGAAACTCAAGACAAAGATGAGGTCAAAATTCCTACCTCATAATTATATTCGTTTACTTTATCAAGAATTGCAAAATCTAAAGCGAGGAATTGATACAGTAGATGAATATACAAAGAAGTTTCATCTATTGGTGGCTCGGAATGAGTTAGCTAAAACCGAAGACCAATTGGTGGCTAGGTATATAGGTGGGCTGAGACCAAATATTCGAGATATATTAGACCTATTTGACTGCTATGATGTTTCTATGGCACATCAACATGCTCTAACCATAGAAAAACAAAGCAGCCGACCTAACCAATTGGGCCGAACCCAAACTAATGTGGCTAGACCACCCCCATGTGATAATCCTAACCCGCCTTCAAATCAGCCACAGTACTGTGGGCTGAATCAAAACCAAGGACGTGGACCTAATCCAAGCCAAGTGGGTCCACCTGGATTGAAGTGTTTTAAATGTGGTGAACCAGGCCATAAATCTATTGAATGTGTGAGGGGTGATAAAAGAAAAGGGGCGGTGTTTGTAGAAGATGAGAGTGAAACCCAATTAGAAGCATTTGACTGTTCAGCCCCTCCTATGTTTGACTCTTATAATGACGAAACCTTAGAGGGAGAAATGGTGTATAGGGATGTGGGAGAGGCCTTGGTAATGCAGCGATCATTCCTAACTCCTAGGGATGAATCATCGGATTGGCTAAGAAATAATATTTTCCACACCACGTGTACTATGGGTGGGAAAGTTGCAAGCCTTGTAATTGATAGCAGGAGTTGTGAGAATGCTATAGCGGAAGTAGCCATCCATAAGCTGAACCTAAAAACTCAACAACATCCTTAGCCTTACAGGTTTGCATTGCTAAAAAGAAAGAATGAGGTTTCAGTCACATAACGGTGTCTAGTGAGATTTTCTATTGGCAACAATTACAGTGATCGTGTGTGGTGTGATGTTGTATGCATGGATGCCTGCCATTTGCTACTTGGGCGCCCTTAGCAATTTGACTGCTATGGACGAAAGAAAACCTATTCTCTTGAGTTTAAAGGGAAAAGGCTGACCTTATGTCCATCACAAGAGACTAAACCAAGCCCTAAAAGAGATCGGTGTTGTGTATGCTTCAATTAACAAGGGGTTTGACCTAAAAGGTGTGGAGGCTCCAAAGGAGGTGAGGCCTTTGCTTGATGAATTTAGTGATGTGTTTCTCGAAGATTTACTGGCAGGATTACCACCATTAAGGGATATCCAAGAATATTCGTTTGTGCTGAAACACAAGTTTGGTGTGCACAATCAAGTTGCGGATGCGCTCAGCCAAAGGAGAGCCATGTTATCCACGTTCCGAGCACAGGTACCGGGGTTATATACTTTTTGTGAATTATTTTTCACTAACCCTTATTTTGCTGGTACCATAGAGGAAGTGCAAGCAGGTAGTAGGACAGACTTTGTGATATATGATGGTTTTCTATTTAAGGAGACCTGCCTATGTATACCTACTTGCTCAGGCGACTGAAAATCATCAAAGAACTTCACAATGAAGGACATTTTGGGCAAGACGAAACAATTCATCTCATCTCAACAAGTTACTTTTGGCCCAAGATGACAAGAGATATCACAAGGTTTATGGAGCGTTGTCACATATGCCAAGTTTCTAAGGGAATGGTAACCAATGTTGGATTATACATGCCCCTCCGGGTTCCTAAAAGACCTTGGGTAGATATCTATGGACTTCGTTTGTCGGTTGCCATGTACCTAGCGACAGGTAGATTCTATAATGGTGGTTGTAGACCGATTTTCAAAAATGGCTTACTTTGTGGCATGTAGGAAAACAATGGATGCCTTACTTATTGCTGGTTTATTCCTCAAGGAGGTTGTCAAACTCCATGAATTACCATCTTAGATTACTTCGGATAGAGACTCCAAGTTCATATCACACTTTTGGAGAAGTCTCTGGAGGCTAATGGGTACCTCATTACAATTTAGTAGTTTATATCATTCTCAAACGGATGGCCAAACAGAAGTAGTCAATAGGRGTTTGGGGAATCTTTTGAGAACCTTTGCAGCTAGCCATGAACGACAATGGGATCTCTTATTAGCACAAGCTGAGTTTGCCTTCAATAGGTCCAAAAACAGGAGGCCAACCCTCGTAGCGTCCTTGACCTTGCTACTAGTACTTGGCCAGGTTTAATTCATGACAAGGCTGATGATATGGTACAGAAGCTTAAGAACCTCCAAGAAGAAGTCCACAACAAGCTAGAGGTAGCCAATGCTAAGTACAAACAATATGTTGATGGAAAAAGGAGGAAAGTAGTATTTGATACGGGAGACCATGTTTGGGCCATTTTAATAGAGGACCGCCTACCAATTGGGCAATGTGGAAGGACCAAGGAAGATTGGACCATACGAGATAGTCAAAGTCATCAATGAGAATGCGTATAGACTAAAGCTACCCAGTCATATACGTACCCATGATGTTTTCAATGCCCAACACTTGGTACTTTACGTTGGCGATCAGTCAGATGGTGGTTTGAATCTGAGGACGGATTCTCCCCAATCTAGGGAGGATGATGCAGTATAGGAGAAGGCTGATAAGTTCTATGCAAGTTGGGACCGTTCCAAGACACATAAGAAGTAGAAATGATGCTACCGGCCCATCTTAATAAATATTTACTGATATAGCATCATCACAGGAATTCTATCTTAGTACGTTTTTACCAAGTTGGCGCCATCTCAGAGTTTCCATCTTAGTTCGTTTTTTCCATGATAGCATTATTTCAAATTTATATTCAATTAACCTTTTGAAGGATTTTAGTAGGATTCTATTTGGGAGTGTTTTCTTAGATTAGGATTTTATTTTTAAGGAGTTTTAGTAGGATTCTATTATGGAGTGTTTTCAGATTAGGATTAGGAGACATAAGGGTGTATGCCTATATAAAGAGTAGCTACGGGAAGCTAAGGGAGTTCTCTTGTTATCAATTTTCTCTTAATTGTTTAGTAAAGAATTCTTCTTCCTAAAATTCAACTTCTGCTCTTTTTTTTGAAGCTTTTTTCACGTGTTTCGTTTCCATACTGCATCAAGGGTCAACATGGCAGGTAAAGAAGGTGAATTAAGGATCTGAGTTATGTAAAAAAGATATTCAGATCTATACCTGCAGGTAGCTTCCAACAAATTTTCCACTCCACTAAATCAACTCTGATATTCCAATAGTTCTTCTGCAGACCCAACTAAGAAACTGACCAGAATTGACTCCTAATTACATTAAAAATAAAGAAAATTCATATATAAACATAGGGACTCTTAGTATGGACTCCAACTCCTAAACCAACTTGAAATATCCATTACTAATCATGTTAAAACTAAACAAACAAATGACAGCTCCAAGATAAACAAAAAGAGAAAAAAAAAAGAAACATCTTAATCCCATAACAGGATGTCACCCTATTGCTAGAATAGTTATAACCTTCCCCAAAACGCATTGGATTCACAAGATCTGGGTTTTCTTGGATAAGTAGTTGAAAAAAAAAAACTATACTGACACCAAAATTATGTAAAATGGATAAGTTTTGGCCCTTAAAATAGACTGAGAAAAATTAAATGGTTGCATCTTTAACTTTTCAGAATTCTAAGTACTTTCTAATATAACCTTTTGAACTAATTTAACCCTTTAAGATAACTAATCCTCTTTTAAGACACAAACAAGATAAAAATATATTTGAAAAACTCAAAACTACCAAAATCCAAATCACCCAGAAATTACAAAATTTGGTTCAAGAATATGAAGAAACTTGATTTCTTCTTCCAAAGTTTCTTTCCTTGTTTCAATGCCTGCATCACCTTCTTAGGCTATAATCAAGTAATCTTAATAGGAAACACTTAAGCCAGATGCTGATGCAATGCTAATAACCTTATTCGCTGCTAATGTTCCTATGTAAAAACCAAGGTTCTTAAGAGTATGGTTTGAATATTTAAGCCTTAACTACTATTGAAAACCAAGGTTCCTTAATGTTAGGTTGGAATTCATTGGTATCCATTTGCATATCTTCTTTTAGTAAAACCCTAACATGGTACAGGAACATCTCTGGAGATCATACTTAGGAAGATTTAACTTACACACAAAAAGGTTGACCATAGGGGCAGGCCTCTTGATTTATTGTAGGAAGATTTAACTTCATTTGTATCCATTCCATTTAGTCATTTATTGTATATTACCTCATTTTATCAGCTCAGAATATTATAGAATGATATATGTTTTTTGTTAATTTTTCTCATCAATCTGTATTAACTCCTATTTTTGGTAACTTCACATGTTTTTTAAATATCAGGTTGCTAGTCTCAGAGGATCCATAAGCAGTTTTCAAGAGCAAGCAAGTTGCAAATCAAAAGTTTTATCAGTTGAAGCACCATACAAGCTTTGCCAATCTTTTACCCCCCAAATGTCTCTTTCCAGTCCACTTAAGGTCAGTCATGTTCCTTCAAGGTAGTAAGCTTATCTTCCTCAAATATCCTAAAGTTGTAAGGAATTAATGGAAATTCTTTCTATATGATGTTTTGATAGGTAATGAGTAATTGCATTAAACATATATAAAAGCTTAAATGTAACAACTGTTTCACAAAAAAGGTCCACCGACATACACTATGGACCCGAGAAGGATTTACAATAGAAGCAGAAAATACAATATGTTCCAATCCCTCAGAACAATATGTAGAGGCTGCTTGGTCCAATTTGTAGAGACTATCTGCTATAAGTCCTCAGCCAATCATCTTCCTCAAGATCAAATCTTAAAAGACATGAATCAAGAAAGCTTACACATCAATTTAAAGACTTAGTAAGACTATCAATGAACCATTTGCAAATCTTTCTTTATCTCTAACTGATAATAGTTGATAAGAAGAAAAGAGACCAGACTTACTAGTCATATGATTGGAAGCTCCTAAATCAATGATCCTAGGAAACTCAAAAGGGATAGTAAAGACATCTTGGCTATTTGATTTCACGACATATGACATGGAGGTCTTCCTTGTGTCTGTAACTCATAGTGTCCTTGGACAGTATCATGGGTGGATTGCTATTGATTTTCATTATTAAAAGTTTAGTTAGCAATTCTGGTAGTATTGGGTTTCTTCCTAGGATTAATTTTAAACTTTTTGGATTTTCCACTAAATCCCACAACTCTCAGTCTCAGTGTGCTTGTGTGTCTTACAATGAGTTCATCATTGTTTTCCTTTTTATCTTTCTTGGGGTTCTTGTTTTTACTTTCTTGTGTCTACCTCTTCCCGCAAGAACAACTTGCTTCTCCTTAGGTGGATTGATAGCAACCCAACTACTCTCTTTTGACTATATTAATGCATGCATCTCATGGAGTGTGGAAAGTTTCCTTGCTATCCAAGATTGGGGTGCAACTTGGGTTGGGTTGGGAATTTGTCAAATTGTCAATGGGCCCAAACCTAACCTGAGCTCAATGCAATTGAAAGTCTTCAAGTTGGGCAACCTGATCTGCATCCCTACCCAAGATCTAGACTCTAATAGGTTTATGCATCTAACTTAGATCCATGTTTCAAAGTATCAGTACTCTTGATATACAAAATTTGTGTATCGAGAGCTTTGGTGAGCTGAAACTACCATTTTTTAAAATGTTTTGCCCTGATATTTTGACAGGCCACCTGTCACATCAAATATTAATTCTTTAAAAACTTAAAAATCATGTAAGCCTTTAAAATAGGCATATCGATGAGCCCAAGATACAACACGATATGCCCAATATGGGTATTGTATTGATACTTTGAATCTTGTTTAGATCAGCCAAGAAAGCAAACAACTTCTTTTATAATGCCAGCTTCATATAGGATGAGGCATCCCTCTATTATCCTAATCAATAGGCAAGTAGTGATCTAATTTCTTCCACATTGAAGGGTAGAATGGTAGACTAAGAGGCTCTTATCACCTTGATGTCAAGTTGAAGATTCAATTTGTAGTAGATAAACATGTGCGAAGTGTCTATGCTTAGCATATTTAGATTTGGATTGAATTCAAATCTCTTTGGTGTTTCAGTCCACATAAAATTTTTCCATAATGTGGGCTGCACTGAAGACAACACCATGACATGATCATGTAATTCTCCTACTCCCACTTTTAATGAGCTGTGCCTTCATCTTGGGATTCCTTTATCTTGCCAGTCAAATACCCCAATTTTCCTCTCCCTCCTAAAAATAATCTTACAACCTTAGACCACTATAAATAATTCAGACCATTTAGAGGTGTGATAGAAATCTGAAAATTCATGGTCGCAACACTGTGTCCCATTCTTCTCTTGGCCTGTCTTGGGATCTTGGCCTTAGAAGAGGCCTCAGGGATGTTGGAACTCTACTTGCTGAACACTCTTGATAGTCTTTCTTGTTTCCGACCTTTCTGATAAGTGCTTGTGGATTGCTGATCCATTAGGTGTAATTTCTTGTGCCTCTTTCACAATGCACTTTCCCATCTCTTCCCTACCATAAAATTGCTGGGCGAAAGAAATTCAGAGTACTTTTACTCCTATTTCCATCTCATGCACAGGCTGTAGTACTTACTGTCTCTCAATTGCACATCCCCCCATGATATGTAGGGTTTTGTTCTAGGATGGAACGGGGATGGATAATTGGTATCTAGGAATGATATATAGGGCAGGTCGAATCGCAGTGATATACTGAGAAACACTTATATAGGAAAAGTAGTACATCTAGCAATAAAATTAATATGCAATTTATTAAATAGGAAGAGATAGCAGGGACCAACATTGCTTTGTGTAATGGGAAATCTTGGTTTGACAAAAATGAGAATGTAGGTTTGACTCCAGAGCTGCTGCTTTGTGCAAAAAGATGCCAAAGATTAGGACCATATCCAGCCCATCTCTCCCAAGACCCCATATAGCTGGGGCCATCATTGGGTAATGGCCCTAATTGAATGGGAAAAGATAAAATTAATTCAAGAATGTAAACAGAGAAGAGAATGAGCAATGAGAGAATGGGAGAAAGCATAGAAGTCCTTATTCATGAAATCTACCTAAAAGGTCCAAGTATAAGACTAGTTAAATGAGGTGATCTGGCACGGTGAAAGAATTGATCCTTTCTTGCACTAAAGAACAGATGAAAAAAGATTGTGTAGTTTTCAGTTTGGTGATTATGGATATAGTTGCTGTATAAGTGACTGATTTATCAAACTTTACCCCTTGTATTTGACAAATGAAGCATCATTGATGATGTGCAGATTAGATATCACTCTCCTGAGGAGGAGATAGCTTTTGGACCTGCTTGCTGGCTTTGGGACTACTTACGAAGAAGTGGAGCTTCAGGCTTTTTACTTCCGCTTTCTGGTGGAGCAGATAGCTCTTCAGTGGCAGCCATTGTTGGGTGCATGTGCCAGCTTGTTGTAAAAGGTCAGTTAAGTAATCTCAAAAGCATTTTTCTAGAATATCATCTTTGGATATTTTCTTATTTCAAGTTATAGCTCATGATTTTATTGATCTAGACACTGTATTTAGATGTTGATATGGGGAGTTTTTCTTAAGGAGTGGAGTATAATGAGAATATTTCTCGATATTCCTTTATATTATGGTTTAAAATGCCTTTAAATTTCCTAATATTTCCCCGACATATTTCCATTTCCATGGGTAGTGATACGGAATTTTACTGGAATTGACATCATAGTTGTCAAGGCGATGCCTAGGCAACTAGGTGATTTTTAGAAGTCACCTCGCCCAACGCCAAGGTGTTTTTGTATTAGGCACTCACCCATATATATTATATTATTTTTTTGGATGTGCATATGTATTATATCATTTTATTGGTTTGTTTTATTTTATTAGAATACACCCTGTTGTTTGTTACAATTTTTTTTATTAAAGTAATTCTCTTTACATTAAAACTACGAAAGTTTCTTTGGGTTGGAGACTTTGAATTTTGAACTGAGAGCTAAGTTTCCATTGTTCAGTCCAAGACCTCCAGGTACGTTTCTTCTTCTTCTTCTTTAAGAAATATTTTTATGATGAAATAGGGGCTTTGCCTCCTCCTCCTTCTTCCTAAAAATCATACTGGTACTCATTCTTTCTTACTTTTAACAATCCTCCTCCATTTTTTTAGCCTGACACAGGGTCTCCACCCCCTTAAACACAACCCACATCATCCTCTTGGACATTATGTTGGGAACGAAAAAGGGGCTCCGTCCCCCATTTTTGTTGGCCTAGATGCTAGCTATGGCATTTTATGTTTTATTCGAATGATTTTATTGCTAATAGGTAGCATACATGTATGTTGGTTAGTATAAAAAACCAATAGAGTAGCTTAAGAGGGGTAGGAATATTTATTTTATACTTTCAAATTCCATTGCCTAGGCAACTGAGTGACCTGTGGTTGCCTAGGCACCTTGACAACTATGATTGACATATCCTCTAGTGAACACTACTAGGAATACAAGAGATAATTTCCATGACATATATCTATTTCCGTGGGTAGTGACATGAAATCTTACTATAATTGTTATATTCCCCAGTGAACACTACCCACACTATACAGGGTAGGGGTGAGCAAATGGGTAGGTTCTACCCAACATAGTTGTCAAGGTGTCGCCTAGGCGACTAGGCGCCTCGCCCAAACGCCTTTACTTTTAGCATCTAGGTGCTTGCCTAGGTGACAAAAATGACAAGGCGGGCACATTTGCTTTAATGTTTTACTATTGAAATTTAAAAGATAAAAGGGTTTTGAGGAGAGAAAAAGAAAGAAAGAAAGAAAAAAAAGAAAGAGGAAAGAAAGAATAGAATTATAAAGAGGTTCTTTTTTTTTTTTTTCTATTCTCTCTCTCTAATTAAATAAAACAGAAACTCCATCCTTGTTTTTTCTATTTTACTTTCCATCTTGAATATTTATCATGTAAACATTCTTTAGCTGCTAATTGATATGAAATTGCTCTGTTAAATACTTATAATAGTATATTATTTTTGAAAATAATGAAATTAATATATGTAAGAGTTTTATATTTTAGTTGTGATGGTTTGCCACATTTTTAGAGGAAATATAATGTTCTTATTAAAGAGAATTGCTATTTTTTCTATTAATACACATGCTGAATGGTGCATAAAAGTAGGGGACTATCCAAAAGTTAGTTTTTTATATTATAAAATTTTTATCGCCTAGGTGACTAGGGGACTAGGCACCCCAGTGTCGCCCAGAATTGCTTAGACGCCTTGAAAACTATGCTATCCAGACCGAATGGAACTGACCTTCAACCACCCTACCCAACCTGTTACAGGGGTAGGGTCTGGTCCCACATTCTTGGAACTGATCCCCACCCAGGCCGGTTCCAGGGTCTAGGGTTTATCCTACATAAGCCAACCTGATGAACCGACCTTGGTGGAACCTGCCTTGGAACCAAACTTGCCTTGAAATAAACCCCAAAATACTTTTGGAGATGTGAAGATTTAAACCCTAGTACTCATGGTTACAAAGACCATGGTCTTCCTTGATCATTGAGTTACTTAAATGATTTGATCATTTGTTTTCATTTTAACATTTGAATGTGTACAGTAAGTAATGTAAAAGGTAATATTACAAAATTTAAATTTAAATTATAAGTTTTGAACCATATGATGATAATTTACATATTAAATTACTCAAATTAATGAATAAAGATAGTATAAGCTTTAAACTATATATTATATTTATTGAAGATCATGTTTTTAAAGAACATGCTTCTGTTTTTTTGAAGTGGGAGAATAAAGAAAGAACAGGTTCCACAGGTAGACCCTGGAACCACCGATGCCAGAACTGACCCTGGAACCAACCTTCATAGGGTAGGTTCTAGTTCCAAAAACCTGGAACCAACCCTTATAGGGTAGGTTCCAGGTTCTGCCATGGAACCGAACCAGACCAACCCATGCTTACCCCTAATACAGGGTACAAGAGATAGTATTATAATACAAGTTGGTGACAATATTGTAGATATGTAGGCTAGCAATATTATTGCTCACCCAACTTAGATTATTACCACTTGGAGCCAGCTCGATATCCATTTCAAACATGAAATTAAATATTAGTTTTTGTTTGTGTAATAGATTATTTGGTTGATTTATTAGACATTTGCATTTTCTGACTTCAAAATTTTCTTTAACTTTTTCTATCGTGTAGTTTTGAATCTTAGGATTTACAGGACAACTTCAGAACATATTCTTTTGTCTATAACCTTAGTTTCTTATCTTTGTTGCATGATTCAGAACAAGATAATAATTAAAAAAGGTGTGCGTATGCTTCTTTTATCATTTTGTAAAATATCAATTTACATTTTTGCATAGTTTACAATGTTTCTGTCATGTTTATAATTTTTACAATATTTCCATGATCGGCATTTCCACCAACACTGACATTTTAAACCCTGCTTTATATTTGCATGACGCATAAAGGAGACTTGCACGATATGCAGATAATGAACTTAATCTATTTTATGGCTTTATCTTCTGGACAATCTACCTTTTCTTTTCTGACATTCCAGAAGAATACAGGCAAAACAGAAGTGTAGAACAGGACTGCAAATCAATGCTTAGAAATATGAGAGGGAGTGCAAGTTTATAAGTACCTACAGCCTGAAACTTTGCAACAATTTTTTTTTTTTTTTCTTTTTGATAATCAACATGACTTTCATTAAAAAACAGAAGCCCTGCTAAAGTGCTAATAGAATAGCAGGCAAGGATATAGTGCAAGGGCTTCCACAAAAGATGTGGAATCCTATTCTTTGTTTAATGATTCAGAAAAAGATAATAGTTCAAAAGGTGTTCCTATGCTTCTTTTTATCATTTTGTAAAATATCAATTTATAATTTTGCATATTTTACAATGTTTCTGTCATGTCTATAATTTTTACAATATTTTCATGATCAACATTTCCACCAACAATGACATTTTAACCCCCTGCTTTATATTTCCATGACCCATAAAGGAGACTTGCACAATATGCAGATAATGATCTTAATATATTTTATGGATTTCTCTTCTGGACAATCTACCTTTTCTTTTCTGACATTCTAGAATAATACAGGCAAAAAGAAGTGTAGAACAGGATTGCAAATCAGTGCTTGGAAATCTGAGAGGGGGTGCAAGTTTACAAGTTTACAAGACTTGCAAAATGATTCTGTTAATCATCTATTACTTTTCAAGTTGTTAGCATATAGAAGGTTTTACCTTTAAAGGAAATTTGGCTATCCTAGTCACCTATTTAGCAATGAATATTTCCCACTTGGAACTACTACTGAGTTATTCCTGAGCATCCAAAAGGGATGCTCTTGAATGGTATCTAGATTTAAAGGTGGTACAAGTTTCTAGCTTTAATCCCCATGGACTGCACCTAAAAATGAAATTGCCAACTTTGTAGGCATAATCAAAAGCATGATTCAGAATTTGGATATCAGTGGATGTTTCATCATGTAGAAATGGGAAATTTTGGGGATGTTTCGCAAATTCACTAAAATATTTGGATATTCTAAAGAAATCAGGGAAAATTACAAAAAAAAAACAGAAATTGTCATTAGAATTTCGTGGACAGTTAGAAGAAGTATAATCACACATTTAAACTAAAAAAATCATAGCAAACTGTATATATCAAATAGGAGAAGATTAAGAGACTTAAGTAGTTATCTCTTGTAGAGACACTATGGGCTGACTTGGTTGGGGGCACATTTTTATATCATCTATCTTATGTATAGTATCATTATTTTCTATTGTATACATAGTCTTTTATTCTTTGCATTAGAGAGGGGCACAACTGTCYTTTCACTCTTTTGTACTCCCTTGATATATAATACATCTCTTTTGGGCGTGTTGTCACTAAGACACATCCATTCAAACTCTTGTATCTTTGAAATTGCTGTCTTTGTCATGGTATCAGAGCAGATTCGATGAACTGCACTTGCTGAGAATATTTGATGTAGTGCTTGAAGGTTCTTATAAGAGGATTGGGGAGGCTCTTGTTGGTTTCTACTTCTCAAGATATAAGTGCATATTTGGGGCTGTTTCGTATTAAACTGGGTGAGGATGAGTTCATGAAAATTTTTCACAATAATTGGTACTTCATCCCGGGATTTCATGAGATAAATCCAAGTATAACGAGAATAATCATCAATAAAAAGGATAAAATACCTGTAGCCCCCCATGGTTGGCATGTGATATGGCCCCCACACATCAGAGTGAACAATATGGAAAGGAGAAAGAGATCTTTTATTACTGATTGAATAGGAATGTCTACAATGCTTTGCTAGCTCACATGACTCACAATGAAGACTAGATAAAGRCACTCCTTTAAACATATCTGGGAACAGATGACTTAAAGCAGAAAAAGACAAATGACCAAACCGAAAATGACATAACAAAATTTTCTTAACAGACTCTGACACAAC